GACATCCAGGTCCCGCTGCACACTCCCCTCTCCCAATTTACAGCCAGAGGTAGTAACCTGCCTTCTTGTTTTTGCTTCCAAAGTGAATAACCGCACATTTATCCAAATTATACTTATGTTGTTGGTTCAACCTTGTTAAACATAGAACTGTACAGCACTGTACAGGCCCTTTGGCCCACGATGGTCTATCTAACCTCCACCCCTACCTTATATTATCACCCATATGCCTATCTAATAGCCGCTTAAATGCCCCTAATGAGGCCGACTCCACTACTCTCTCCGGCAATGCATTCCACGTCCTGACCACTCAGAGTAAAGAACCTACCTCTGACGTCTCCCCTATATCTACCTCCACTCACTTTAAAACTATGCCCCCTCATAATAGCTACCTCCACCCTAAGAAAAAGTCTCTGGCTGTCTACTCTATCTATACCGCTGATCATTTTGTACACTTTATCAAGTCACCTCTTATCCTTGGTCATTCTAAAGAGAAAAGCCCTAGCTCTCTCAACCTTTCCTCGTAAAACCTTCCCTCCATTCCAGGCAACATCCTGGTAAATCTCCTCTGCACCTTTTCCAAAACTTCCACATCTTTCCTGTAATGAGGCGACCAGAACTGGTCACAATACTCCAGGTGTGGCCGAACCAGGTTTGTGTGTAGCTGGAGCATAATTTCACGGCTCTTGAAATCAATCCCTCTATTAATGAAAGCTAACACACCATATGCCTTCTTAACAACGCTATCCACCTGGGGGGCAGCTTTCAGGGAACTGTGGACATGAACCCCCGAGATCCTTCTGCTCCTCCACACTGCCAAGAATCTTTCCGTTAACCCTGTATTCCGCCTTCAAATTTGTCCTTCCAAAATGAATCACCTCATACTTTTCAGGGATAAACTCCATCTGCCACTTCTCAGCCCAGCTCTGCATCCTATCAATGTCCCTTTGTAACCTAGAACAGTCCTCCGCACTATCCACAACTCAACCCACCTTCGTATCATCCGTGAACTTACTAATCCACCCTTCCACTCCTACATCCAAATCATTTATAAAAATCACAAATAGAAGAGGACCCAGAACAGATCCTTGTGGTACACCACTCGTAACTGAGCACCATGTTGAATATTTTCCGTCCACTACCACCCTTTGTCTTATAAGGGTCAGCCAATTCTGAATCCAATCTGTCACATTTCCCCCTATCCCATGCCTCCTTACCTTCTGCATGAGCCTACCATGGGGAGCCTCATCAAACGCCTTACTTAAATCCATGTATACCACATCCACTTCTCTACCTTCATCCACGCGTTTGGTCACCTCTTCAAAAGAATTCAATAAGGTTCGTGAGGCATGATCTATCCCTCACCAATCCATGCTGACTATCACGAATCAAACTGTGCCTATCCAAACTGATCATAAATCCTATCTCTCAGAGCCCTTTCCAATAATTTGCCCACCACTGAAATAAGACTAACTGGCCTGTAATTTCCGGGGTTATCCCTATTCCCTTTTTTGAACAAAGGGAATGACATTTGCCACTTTCCAATCTTTCAACACTATACCCGTGGACAGCGAGGACAAAAATATCATCGCCAAAGGCTCTGCAATCTCTTCCCTCGCTTCCCATAGAACCCTTTGGCAAATCCCATCAGGCCCAAGGGACTGATCTATCTTCAAGTTCCTCAAAATTCCTAGTACATCTTCCTTACTAACATCGACCTCCTCTAGCCTACCAGCCTATTTCACACTGTCCTCCTCTGCAACTAGGTCCCTCTCAGTTGTGAATACCAAAGAAAAGTATTCATTAAAGGACCTCTCCTATCTCTTTAGGCTCCGTACACAAATTCCGTTTACAATCCTTGAGCGGCCCTCCCCTTTCTCTGGTCATTCTCTTATTCCTCACGTATGTGTAAAAAGCCTTGGGATTTTCCTTAATCCTATCTGCCAAAGTTTTCTTATGCCCCCTTATAGCTCTCCTAAGCCCTTTCTTCAGCTCCTTCCTGGCTGACTTGTATCCCTCTATAGCCTTTTCTGATCCTTGTTTCATAAACCTTATATAAGCATCCTTCTTCCTCTTAACTCGTCGTTCGACCTCTCTTGAGAACCAAGGCTCCCTCACTCGACCGCATCTTCCCTGCCTGCTAGGGACAAACATATCAAGCACACGCAGTATGCATTCCTTAAACAATCTCCACATTTCTATAGTGCTCTTCCCTGACAGCATCTGTTCCCATTTTCTGTTACCCAGTTCTTGCCTAACAGAATTATAATTACCCTCCCCCAATTATAAACCTTACCCTGCTATATGTACCTATCCTTTTCCATGACTATCATAAAAGTAACAGAGTTATGATCGCCACTTGTTCATGAACTCATGCTGTTCACCCTATCTCACATGACCAACCTGCAGCCATTCGGTGGCATCCATGATCGGAGCTCACTGAACAAGGTATCTATGGATAGTTCTCTGTCTCACAGATGCACCCGAGTTGTTTCAACTGCTAATCAAGGTGCACACGGGCTCAAGTAGATCTTGCCAAGTGCCCAGAGCTCTTGACGACACAGGATAGGCATTCCTCGACTAAATTGCCCTTAAACTTACTATGAACTTTAGTTTAACTTTGCTTATTTAAACCTTACTTTTGCAGTTTATTTGTTATAAAGTGGAAAGCAAAAATTCCTCACTTCTGCCAAAAATCAGTTTCCTTCTTTGTGTACAAACTCATACTTTTCCTGTGCTAATTATAGATTTCTATTTTCTGAAATTACTAGAATTGAAACAAAGCCTCCAACAACTAACCAATCAACCTACAACCTTCCTGTGAGCCCATTATTGCTATGTTTCTCTGAAGAAAATTCTTGAGATTGTGCTCATCTGCCTTTGTTGGCAAAGGCAAATGCTACACACCTCATTCCTTAGATTGCATTCCCTCTTGGGTACATTCTCTGTTCTGCCTATCTGTCTTTGTTCCCAATAAATGTTACAATTGTAAAACAGCAGTTCTTGAGGTTAAGTTTGAGGCACATTTCTGGGGCAGAGTGTATTTCTGTAACTCCATTTGAAAGTTTTTTTGCTGGTACAGAAAGCCTTAAGTAGAGATCTATTTCCCAACTGTTAATATCACCCATTAAGTCCAAAGTATTTCGCGAACTATTTTTCCACATGCACTTAGCAAAGAAAGAGAAAATAGCTTAACATAGTTATTTTAGGCTCTAAAAAACATTCCAAGTAGTTGGCATACAAAAGCATGTTCAAAGAGAACTACGAATTAGGTTATTTATTGTCTGTTAAATATTTGCACAAACAATTTAAAGCAATTCTGCCTGACATTTTTCTAAAAGCTGTAAATGGGGAAATACAGAAATAATGACTATTATTAAGTTATTTGTGTACAGACCCTGAAGCAGCCTGCAATTCTTTTGATTACATCCTCTCTTCCTCACCCTAATATTCAACTACAACCGTGTTCCAGGAACTCAAAGTTGCAGACTTCTCACTTGCTTGGTGATTAATTTGAAATCTGATGATCACGATATCTATGATGAAGTGACGTATCATTGTCGTGAATGAACAGATAGTTTCCAATCTCCCTTTATGTTCACATCCTCCCAGGAAACCCACCCAAAAGGGCAGTGGTGGTACATCAGCAGGAAAGGGAATATATGTTGGATCAATACTGAAGTTTCAATGACAGCAGGTAGTCAACAGAAAAAAGATGGTGAAAGATAATGGCAAACTAGATAAGTCACCTTCCTTTCACCATAAAGAGTGAAGTGCTCATTATGAGCAACCAGCACTCAGGTCCTTGCCAGAACACATCAGTGACCTACCAATAGGCAAATCTTCATCACCTTCATAGATCATAGAATCCTTACAATGTGGA